AATTTTTAAAAAAAAAAAAAAAAAAAAAAAAAAGGACAGCTGTAAAGCTTCTCATGGTGATATACGTCCACGTAACTGTGCTACAGATTTCATGTGTTTAATACATATTCTCAGCGTACCAGGAAAACCCTAGGTTGGAGAAGGGCTTGGGACACAAAGAGACAGCCATGAGTGTGTAAACATACCTGAATTTGTTTCATTTTCCCCCCTAAAACAGGTTCCTCTCAGAAATGTTCTGTTGCCGTTAATGATACCCTCAGATACCCCATTTACGGTGCTGTGCATGAAAAAGGGGCCACGTCCTAAACCTGATTAGCTCTGGAGGCCTGCATGGCGGCCTTACAAACTCAGAGACCTAAAGTAACCACATAGGATGGTCTGAAATTAAAACTTTCTAATTAAAATCAAGTCATGGTGGGTAGACATGTCCTAGGCCATTTATTTTCCTTGGCAAAAGTCAATCTTTACCTTAACTGAGTATGTCTATTGTCTTTTTGCATCTGTGATAACCTGCCTTTGGAGTGTCAGGGTAATAGCTGTATTCCAGACCCCTCAGGGCACAATCTCCCACAGAGCAGATCACAGAACCCCTCATTGTTACTCTTATTGTAATTGTTAACAACTATCCTGTACCCACCTATAGAAAAGATGTGTCTATTCCTTTTACTTTTTATCCTGTCCCAGAGATTTCCCTGCTTTGCTTTCTCCCGCCTCCCTAATCTGTCACCAGTGGGTTTCATGTAACCCCTTTATGTTTCCTCCTTTGATTGTAATGTATAAAATAAGGTGCAGAACTGCTATTCTCTGGAGCATTTGCTCAATCCATTGAGATTTTGCTTCCCGGCAGCTGTTCTCAGTTTGGCTCAAATAAACTCATAAAAATTCTTACAGGTTTCCACCCTGGCCGGTATGGCTCAGTGGTTAGAGTGCCGGCCTGCGGACTGAAGGGTCCCGGGTTCCATTCTGGCCGAGGGCGTGCACCTCGGTTCCAGGCTTGTCCCAGTCAGGGCGCGTGTGGGACGCAGCCAATTGATGTGTCTCTCTCTCTCCTTTCCACTGTCTCTGAAAAGCAATGGAAAAAATGTCCTTGGGTGGGGATTTAAAAAAAAAATTCTTACAAGTTTGGACGTTTCTTACCTCAACAATGTCATTTATGATTTTTCTCATCTCCTTTTCTTACCTCCTTCCCCTCACCTAGAAAGTCACTGAATCTTTTCTGTGTTTCATTCATAGTATTTCTCATCTGCTCCAGTCTTTCCAGGCCTTTAGGCAAGAGACACTCTCATGAGTAAACTGCTACACTGGTCTCCTTTTCTTTTTTTCTCTCCTTCCCTTCTCCAGTCAGCACCACACCCAGATTAATTTTCCTAAACCAGGGTTTTCATCTTTGGCCACCAACCTACTCAGAAGCCTTCATTGGTTCCCCCCTGTCTAGAATAAAGTCTAACTTCTGATCTTGACCTCAGTTGCCTTTAATCTGATTTACTCTCCTTATTTCTCTAGCCTTAGTCTTTACTCCTTTTTAGGACCCCTCTAAATATCTAATCTGGCTTACGTGGTGTGGCCCATTTCTGCCTTCACGCTGCCCTCCCTCTTTGCTAAGTCTTGTACTGTAGTTGCAAAGTGAAGTCCGAGGTCGGTCACTTTCCAGCTCTAGCTGTGGTGTCTCCATCCCTCGGAATACCTAGGCTGCCAATCCTTAAAATAATTTGTTGAAAGTATTAGGAGTTCCCTTTTAGTTTCGTTTTGTCTCATCTTTTATTGCTTCTTTGATCAAGTCTGCTTTGTACCTATAAGGCTTTGGTTTGCAAAATTATAAATCTCTTCAGTCCCACTGATGTGGCTTTCATTTCAAATTAACGTTCAGCAAAGGAATTAGCAGATGACCTTTTCGGGCTGTATTTCTTTACACAAAAGGATGGATATGGTTTGAACAGGCTACTAAAGCCAGGAAGAGGAGCTAATTGTGTAAATCAATGCAGATAAGAGCTGATCACCTTTTCGAAGGACACGACAGTGCAGCACACAACCTTTAAATAGATCTTTGGTGTCAAGTTGATGTCATGTTGAAGAATCAATATTTACGGGGCTTTTATAAAGTTAGCCTTTAATGAACCCCAGGCGTTTTGCTAGGCCATTAATTGCAGGAAGAGGAAAGGTGACAGTGGCTGGAGTCTTGGCTGTGGAGGTTGCATAAAACTAAGAGAAGAGACAGTCACTTGCTAATGTGCAAAGGTCCTCCCCTTAGGCTCTACTCAAACATTATTGGATAAGCATATCGAAGGCTTTCTTGGGATCTTGTTGACATTTTAAGAAAGGGCAACTCTTGCCTCCTAACAGAAGAAGGTAAGCCCTTTCTTTGACACTCCATATCTAAGCAGTGTGGCTTCATTTCCCTGGGATGAATTCTGATGTCATTTTGGATTCTGCCTTATAAATGTGCTCATCACCAAAGCAGGTCTCTCTCAGAGTTTGGCTTATCCCTCCCTCTGACACACTTGAAAGTTTTTCTAATTGAATTTATTGGGGCGACATTGGTTAATAAAATTGTACAGGTCACACTTAAAAGTTTTTAAAGTGAAGAATTGTAGTAAAGAGCATCTGCTTCAGGATGCTGGCTCAACCCAAGTCTAATGCAGGATTTTGATAAGTCATTTGTACTTGCTGTATTGGCCAGTAGAATGGTTGCTCTGGCTGTTTTGTGTTCTGTATCCCTCACCAGTGGTCAGAATCATTTGTGGGTAGGAATCTTATCTTTTATTTATTTTAGTCAGCGCTTCTCCTAAATGTTGTTGATTAGGAAGAGGAAGCGCTTCTCCTCAATGTTGTTGATTAGGCAGAGGAATGTATTATATCAGACTTTATCCTGGCTGTAACAAAACTAGGATCCTACATAGCTGGAAGTCTTAGTAGCAGCTTTGCTAGGCCCTGTGAGTTAGGCTTTGTTTGTTACAAGTTCTTGGTCATATCTGCTCAGTAGATACCTTGGAATGAACTTTTCAGACCTTTTCTCCGGTGCATCTTGTCAGAGGAGGCTTCAAGGTTAATCAGAGAGAAGGTCTGGTGTTCTTTTCTCATTCCCATGCCCCCTGTCCCTCTCCAGGATCATTTTTGAGAATAAACACTGAAAAGAAAAAGCATGAGAGGTTTGTTGGGATTGTTCTGGTGTTTTTACAAGAGAAGCTGATGCTTAATATTTCCATCTATAATTCTCTTTAGATATTCATTCTGAGTTTTTATTCTTCCTTTTCAGCTGTTTGAGAACTTCTACTTTGGTACCCTAAAGCTCAATTCAATCCACATCTCTCAGAGGTTCTCAGTGGACAGCTTTGGAAACTATGCCTCCTGTGGACAAATTGACTTCTCCTGAGGTGGATCTTTGGACGCCCTAGAAATTGAACATCTTCACAAGGTGCTGAGGGAAAGTATCTTCATTTTAATGGCCAAGGAGGGATGTGAACATTTGGATGGTGACTTTCCTGGTTGGTTCCCCGTGAACTCTAAAGTCTCTCTGATGGTTGTCCACAATCATCAGACCATCAGGATGGTTGTGGGCACACGGAGAACTGTGTGTGTAACACTTGGCTTGTTCCTCTTTTGCAGGATCTGCTTTCCTCTCTGAAGCTCTTCTCTGGAAATGTACCTTTGAAGCCCATGGGACCTCATATTCACATTACTTCTTATATACCTACTGATTTTGTCTCAGCAGTTAACGTCATTTGTATTAATACTTTAAAAGAGAATTAAAGACGTGATTTTATTAATCTATCTAGATAAAATACTTGTAATTTTTAGAAGGTTTGGGTTTTCCCCCTTTCTCTTGTACTCTTAATTTTTTGTGTGTGATAAAAACAAGCATTTATTGAACACCTACTGTGGGCCAGCCGTTGTGCTAAGGGTATACATATTATTATTATTAATAATATTAAATTATTATACTTAATAATATTAAAATTATTGTTAATATTATTATCACTGGCAACACTATGAGGGAGATACTAGTACAATCTCCATTTTACAGGTGAGGAAACTGAGGTCAGGTAACTAGCTGAAGTTCACATAACCAGGCAGTACATAGTGCCAGGATCTGAACCCAGCCAGCCTGGGCTCTTCAACACTGTGCTGAGCTGCTTGGCCCTTAGCAGAGAGAGAGAAGAAGGAAAATGCCTGGCATACCAGGTATGGAGAGTGGGAGCCACAGGGGCTATGGCTGTTCCACACTATTCCAAGCAGGAGGCTGTGCACTTTGGATGCAGGACTCCCACAATGCTTTGCGAAACTGGATTCCTCGCTTGTACCCTAAATTTTAATCACTACCCAGAATTTCTTTTTTGTGGTAAAAAACACATAACATGAAATTTACCATCATAACCATTTTTTTGTATCTTTTAAAAAATATATGTTTTTATTGGTTTGAGAGAGAGAGAGGAAGGGAGAGGGAGAGAAACATCTATGTGAGAGAAACGTTGATCAGCTGCCTCCTGCACACCCCCTTGTGGGGACTGATCCTGCAGCCCGGGCATGTGCCCTGGCTGGGAATTGAACCTCGACTCTTGGTACACGGGACAATGCCCAACCAGCTGAGCCACACTGGCCAGGGCATCTTAACCATTTGTAAGTGTACGTTTCAATAGTGTTAAATAAGTATATTCATGTTGTTGGGAAACATCTCCAGAACTTTCTCATCCTGCAAATCTGAAACACTGTATCCATTAAACAACTCCCTATTTCCTCTCCCAGTCCCCTGGCAACCACCCTTTTACTCCTGTTTCTATGAATTTGACTACTGTGGATACCTCATACAAGTGGAATCATACAGTATTTGTCTTTTTGTGACTGGCTTATTCCATTTAACATAATCTTCAAGGTTCACCCATGTTGTAGCATGCAACAGGATTTCCTTCCTTTTTAAGGCCAAATAATATTCCATTGTGTGTATGAAACCACATTTTGTTTATCCATTTATTCACCAGTGGACACTTGGCTTTTGTGAATAGCGCTCTATGAACATGGGTGTACAAGTATGTCTTTGAGACCCTGCTTTCAATTCCTTACTCAGAATTTTATCTTTAGCAAAATAACTGTTAAAACTTTTACCTTTTACTTTGATCTGCCCTTTTTGTCCTGAAGTTGGTACCTTTTTATGTTTGTTAGATTCCTGTTCCTTCACCCTACCCTGCCCCTCGCCTTCCCATGCCACTGACGCAGTTGCGGTATTGTAGCCCTTTAATGTTTACTTCTCAGGGCAGCAGAAGGGAAACAGCGATGCTATCAGCAGGGCTGTGCAGAGTCCCCGGGAAAATGTCAGCTGCAGAAGCTGCTCCTGCCGCAGACCAGCAGAGGGAGGGAGCTCTCCGCATAGCTGCGCCCCACCCAGCAGTCCTCTGATCACCAGGGAGCTCCAGCCTTGCTCTCACCTTTCATCCCCTCCTCCTCACATCCTTTCCCCCTCCATGTCCTCTCTTTCTCTTTCCTTCATTCCTTATTCTTATCTTGCTTCTTACTTTCTGTTTAAGAAGTTTGATTCTGAACCCTGTGTGTCCAGAGGACTACATAGTGAGGGTTGTGTATCACACTCAGATTTGTTTACCATTGTGACTGCACAGATCATTTGTGAATAAATGAATTTCCAAAGTAACTGTGCTTTTTAGTATTTTCATATAGTTTTATAGTTTGACCCCCTTAGTGTGTGTCTGGGATACAGTGTTGTCATCACTTACTCACTGACAGAGCTGTATCATTAATCCAGAATTTACCTACTGGTGCCTGTAGGATTGGTTTTCCCCTAAGAATTCTGTACTAATAATATTCCTTAAATTGCGATTTTATCTTGCTTTCTCCTCTGGTTGTTAGGTGGCCCATGGGAATGAGTGCTCCCAGGGATAGTATTGAACAGGGAAGTCGACTGGAGTTCAGTGCCCTCATCTCATCACTGTGCCACTTTTCTCTTGCTGGTTTCTTTCTGATAACTGCCACTGGGCAACCTTGGCCAGGAGGTGAAGATGTCTTTTTTTTGGATGTCAGAGATTTATGACTTCCGTTTTTAATAATTTTTAAAAAAAGTTTTGTGTTTGGAAAATGTAACTTTATATATCAAATACTAAATTGTTAACAGGATTGGAAAGTCTGTTATTTAGAATTTAGAGGTAACTATGCATTTAAGGACATACTGTATTGTTAAGTAATTTTTTACAAGTAATTGCCCTTTTCAGTCTCATTCTCTCATGACTGACTGTACAGTGGGTTTTTCCAGAGGCTACATTACGTAGTGACTCTCTCTCTGATGGTTAATGGAGTGTGTGCTTATGTATTTTTGTGTTTTCTAGAATTTTATAAGTTGGTAGGTATTGGTAGAATTGGAAAATTTTGAGATTTATCTTTAAATTTTTTTTCTAGAAGTCTATAGAAAAATTTTTGAGACACTATAGCTCTAAAGAAAACAGAGTTTTAACTGCTGTTGTAGAAGACAGAGTAACAGGTAGTTATGATATCAAACTTTTATGAAAGTGTAACAGTGGTAGAAAGTAAATAATTTCTGATAGAGCTAAAAGAATTTCTCAAGATTCAGGGCTCCCTCTCGCCAAATTGTACTGGGGTAGATGTTGGAAGATTTGCTACTGTATTTATAATCATCTCTCCCCTAATATTATCACTTTGCAATTCATTCTGTATTAAAATAGAGTTAAATTGCACCTAACATTGCTGTAGTGGGTTTTTTTAAAAATTTTTTTTTAAAGATTTTAAAATAATTTTACAGAGAGATGAAGGTAGAGAGAGAAACACCCATGTGAGAGTGGAACATCGCTCGGCTCCCTCCTGCATGCCCCCTGCCAGGGATCGAGCCCACAGCTCAGGCATGTGCCCTGACCAGAAATTGAACCAGTGACCGACCTTTCGGTACATGGGAGGATGCCCAGCCAGCTGAACCACGTCGGCCAGGGCTGCAGCTGGTTTTTGAGACACTGACTTCACCCTCAGTTCTTGGAAGAGGAAGATGGAAAATGAATTTCTCACCTAGTTATTACACAATATCTGTGTTGTATATTATGAACTTTGTTATGGAGTATAAGTTGATCTTTGGGGCAAGGGAGCATAGTGAGTTACCCCCAAATGAACTCCATACCTGTGATAGAGACAACATTTATTTTTAAGTGAGCTCCAGAGCTGGGACATTGATGAGAACCCAGCTTCAGAACGACACAAAGCTTCATGCAGGTTTGCTCTTGCACTGTGCCCTTTTCCTGGAGCAAAAGGGAACCTGAGGCACACTGAGCTGAGGAGCACCCCCCATAGTCTGCCTTGACACCTCGGGATGTGGACATCCAAGCCCAGGAGGCAGCGGGTGAGAGAAGGGCTGCTGTTGTGGTGGTTTTATTAATAGCCTTTTCTGTTGTTTTTAATAAAGTGTTCTTTTAAACAAATATAAAATTAAGTTCACTTTGTGAAAAATCATCAAGCTATATACACTTTATGCTCCTTTTCAATGTATATGTTATACTTTAAATATTTGTTTAAAACATAAATCTCATCATTCAGAGGTTGCTATTCCCTATGCATTTAAGCACATATCATATTGTTAAGCAATTTTTCACAAAAAACCCAGCTAACATTAGCTGAACACTCTCATTTGTCATTTATTTGTGTATTAGCTCATTTAATCTTCCCAGTGGCCCGCTTCAGTTGGTATTATCATTATCTTCATTTTACAGACTGAGGCTTTACAAACTTAAGAAATTTGCCAGAGGTCACATAGCTTGTACCAGTGGTTCTTAAAACGTCCGTGGACCCCTGGAAGTCCCTTAGAACCTTTTAGTGTGTGTGTGGGGGTCCACACTATTTTTATAAAACTAGTAAGATTATTTGCCCTTTTAACTCTCATCTCTCTCGAGGGTACAGTGGAGTTTCCAGAGGCTACGGGTCATGGTGATATCCTCACCCTGAAGGTTAATGCCTATGTGCTTATGTATTTTTGTGTTTTCTAGAATTTTGTAAGTTGGAAAGTTTAAGGTATAACTATGTGTTTTTAGAGTTTAACGCAGTTTGCTCAGTACTTCTATTGTGCTCTTACTACCTGTTTCAGTTTTAGCTACTATTATGAGCTGGATCATGTCCCCTGAGAATTCATATGTTGAAGCCCTCACTCCCATTTGCCTCATAATGTGACTGTATTTGGAGATAAGGCCTTTAAAGAGGTAATTAAGTTAAAATGAGTCTGAGGCTGCCAAAGTGGGCCCTAAACCAAGCTGACTGGTGTCCTTATAAGAAGAGAGCATTTGGTTACACAAACAGATATACGTATGGACAGAAGACAGACCAGTGTGACACAGCGAGAAGGTGACCATCCGCAAACCAGGAAGAGATGCCTCAATAAAAAACCAAACCTACCAACACCTTAATCTTGGACTTGTAGTCTCCATAACTTTGAGAAAATAAATCTCTGTTGTTTAAGCCACCCAGTCTGTGGTATTTTAGCACTACCACACTTGCTATAATGCAGAAGCTAATCCACCTGTCGTCTTTTGATCAGGACATTAAAGAGATTTGCAAAAATGTAAAACAATGTCATTCTTCTCACTAATTTTTTAGGCGAAAATATAGTTTTTCATTAAATATATTGTTTTCTTAATATGTAATGGGTTTGTTATTGTTATTTTTAGATAATTTTAAAAAATTCTTATTTTTTAAATACTTTTTAAAGCGGTTTTAGGTTCACAGCAAAATTGAGAGGAAGGCTTAATTTTATTTTCAAGCATAGTAAATCAGAGCCAAATCTTTATCTCACATAAACAAAAGTTCTTTGGAGTCCTCAATAATTTTTGAGTGTACAGGACTCCTGAACCATAAAGTTTGAGAACTGCTGTGCTCTACTATACTTGCTTCCAAGGGATGACATTATACGTGATCTATAACGAGCTTTTCTCACCCAGCAATCTGTAGTTAGCTGTCTTCAGATACACATCTACATAATTTTTAATGTCTGCACAGTCCATTGTGTGTATGTATAATAACATAAGTAGTTGGCCCCTAACTAATGGACAGTGAGCCAGTTTCCAGGTTTGGCTCTTTAAATAATTCTGGATTGGACGTTTTTGTGCACTTGTCTTTTGTGCTTGTGAGATCACTTAGAAGGGGGATTAAATGGTTTTGAAGATGTTAAATTTAAGTTTCTTTTTTGGAAACTAAGGTTTCTCTATTTTACATTGCTCAATATGAAATACAAACAGAAAAATGCATAAAACATATGCACCATTTGACAAATACACCCAGCAGCTTTTGGGCCCATGGTTTTGAAAGGCTGACCTGCTAGTAGTTCTCCCAAAATGTAGGAAAACCGTGTCTTCATTATAAGCTATAATTATTGCCCATTTTCTATAACTCTTTTACCCGTCATCTGGAAATGTACAACAGAAATCACTTTACTGTTGGTTTAGCTAACAGTCCTTGACTGTTGGTGATTTGCTTTCAGTACAGGGCTAATATTGACCCAGCTTTAAGGTGCTGCCGAAGGCAAGTCCCATTGGACGAGCTGCCCAGGAGTGTGGGAAGCATTTTGACCTTCAAAGGTCTGGAAACAGCTATTGTTTCATTGATGGGCATCTTGTCAATGCCTTTCCACACTCTTTTTGGGGAACTTTGGTAATTGTAGAAGACCAGGGACTTCATAAGATAGTGTTGGAATGGGAGAGCTCTATCTAGGATCTCCCTCCTCAGTGCCTGGGAGACGTGTAATTAGCGTTGCTAAAAGACTGGGATTGAGATGGTGGGAAAAGATGGCAACTTTTAGTACATATTCAGAACTGTGGGACATCATAGCCTTCTCTACCCAACCTGGGGAGAGAACTAACATTTTTTAAATGCCCACTGTGCCCAGGTGTAGTATGTAGTTATGGACAAGTTTCAAGCAATCTTCTGAGATAAGTAGTATCATCATTAATTTATAGACAGAAAATAGGTAATTTGCCCAGAACCCAGATTCCACCCCCAGTCTACATGACAACAAACTGTTCTTCCTCTTTAAACTGCTGCTATACACCCAGCAAAGCTGCTTTCTTTACTGTGAGATGAAGACATCAGTGGCCATGTCCTCATTGCAGCACCACCTCTAAGTCCAACTGCAAAGCACAAAGAAAACACGGAAAGGGAGCTATTGTTTAGCTTTCCCCAGGGAACCCCAGCCCAAGCCATCGATGCATTCAGAATCCCAGGCCAGACTCAAGAGTGACTATGAACCTTATTAACTATGTTTTTTCCCACTGATTAAGATCATGTTTTTCATTGCCTTTGATTTTTTTAAAGATCACGGCAGCCAAGTTTCTTTTGTTGTTGTTTGTTTTGTTTTAAATAAAGACAATCTAGGGCTTGGGTCCCAAAAATTCAATGTTTTATCCCGTCAGATTATGTTTCCTCTTCAATTTATTTATAATATAAACCTCACCTCATTTTTGCTCTAATACTGGGACTGTGCCCACCCGTCCCAGCTGGCATGTCAACACATTTCTACAGGCAATGATAAGGGTCACAATTTTAACAAAAAATCCAAATGCTTCAAACAAAACCAGCCCCCCTTCATCACCCCCCTTCCCCAGTGGCTTATTAAAATCAACTTGAAGTCAAAACCATGAGCAAATGTGCCTTTTCCAAATTTGCAGCCTTGAGGCAGATGAATGGTCAGACATTTGCCTTTTAGGGTTGCCCTAGGAAGAGCTAACAAAAGGGGTGACAGCCCTTAAACAGCTGCTTGGGGAGGAGGACATCTGCCTCTGTTTCATCAGCCATTCAGTGCTCAGGCCTTGCCTTGAAAAGAGCATGTGGGGCTGGGGAGCAATAGTTCTGAGGCAGCCAGTTGTTGTATGGCTTTTGTCTTCACGAAGCCACCCATTACTGTAGAGCCATAACTCGAAGGAAGCCAGCTGTCAGGGCCGTGGCACAGGTCCCCCTGGGTGGGAGGCAAGGGGAGAGAAAGAGTGTCTGTGGCCAAATTTCCTTTTGGACACCTGAGCCTGGCTGGCTTTGTAACCCGAGAGTTTTGTGTCTTCTCCCACCTCCACAGTCCCTGGGGAGAGCCTGGGGCCCCCCTCCTTGCTCTCCACCCTTGGAAAGACAGCAGGGATGTCTGTTTGGATTCCTGGGTTTGCAACTCCCTGAGCGCTGGGCTGGGCCGGGCTGGGCTCGCTGCGGCTGCCTGGCGTTGGGCGCTCTGATCTAGCGCCTCCCTTTGAAATCTACCCCTCCGGGTTTGTTTTTTTTAAAAACCCAGGTATGATGATGTCAAACGTGATGCTGATGCTACAGTTACAGACTCGGCCCCCGTTGGCGCAGCCTCTCTGATTCTCTCCTCCTCTCCGCGTCCAGCGCTGGGCTTTTTCAGACAAGTGCATCTCCTAACCAGGTCACATTTCAGCCTCGACCCACTATCCGTCTGTCACCAGAGTCAGACCGGGCAGGGGGAGGGCTGAGGAAGACGACAGCGTTTGCTCCGCCACCGGTGGGGTGCGAGGAAGGACATTAAAATACTGCAGAAGTCAAGACCCCCCAGGTCGAACGCAGACCGCGATGCACGCCCCGGGCTGCAGGCGGCTGGCGCTGCCGCTGCTGCTGCTCGTTGCCGCAGCCTTGGCCGAAAGCGATGCCAAGGGGCTCAAGGAGGGCGAGACCCCCGGCAATTTCATGGAGGACGAGCAATGGCTGTCGTCCATCTCTCAGTACAGCGGCAAGATCAAGGACTGGAACCGCTTCCGAGACGTGAGTCTGCGGGGCCACGCGGGCTGCGGGCTGCGGGCGCGGGTCCGGGGAGGGAGCCCAGGCGCGGGGA